ACTTCTTCCAATTGATCACGCCTGCCTTGCCTGAGACTTTCATGCTTCTCACTGCAAGACAGGTGCACATTGGAAACAAGAAGTGCACAATCTTTTGTTGTTTTTTCTTTTTCCACCCAACGCGTCGATTACCGCTTTGCGCGCGCGTTCTCCCTCTCACTCCCACCTTTCACCCGACTCTCTCATTGACGAAACCACCAAACTTCGCATCACGACAACCACAACAAAAAAGAGGTCGAGCTGGCGCATCCAACAAAAAGCTTCACCACGGGCAATTATTCCTCCAGAAACCACTGTTCCAAGACCTCCATTTATCGCCCCGACGACATCATCAATCCTATTTATCTGCGCCTTATCCATTCGCTCAGCGCGCATCGACCAATCTTCCACTCGATTCCACTGGCCGCCCCCAAAGCCGCCTTTTCGCCTAGCCACCTCTTTTTCCCAAATCTGACGCCAGCCTCTCCCATTTCCTCCCGCTTCGACCTCGACCCTCTCTCTCTCCCGGCTGGTGGCATTCTCACACCCACCACCCTCTCTACCTTACGTCTTACCAGAGGATCCATACCACTCCGGATTTCACTTCTCCTCTGCTAAGCAGCATCTTGCCTGCTTGCGCAGACCGCTTTTATTAATTCACTTTTTTGGGTGTGGTATCTGTGTACTCCATCAGCACAATACCAACCTACCAAGTGAGTTGTCCCCTGTTCCCTCCAACCTCACCTTTTTTTTTCCATGTTACCCCCAAGGAGCCCACACCACCTTCGTGCGCTGTGCTGTGCTGTGCTGCTCTTCGGTACTTGCTAACACCAAGATCAGCATTCTCGCAGGTCTCGCCAACCCTCGCCTGCCTTACATCACTCATCGACGACCCTCAATCACCACCTGGGTGGTGACACTTTCACCTTGTCCGCCGCATCAGGTCAGATCATTGACCTGGGCCCCGTCGCGAAGTTGACGAACCCAAATTCCCCCACGCCTTCTAACGACCGTCACGAAATTCACGACCTCACGAACCCTACCCCCCAGCGCCAGCAGCAGCTGCGTAGGCAATCGCGAACCATTACTCCAGATCCAGCTGAGAGACCCTCGACTCCAGCTTCATCCCATCGCACCCTTCGCCGTACTCCGCGATTCGAAGCGACCCCGAGTCCCACCCCACAGTCAACCCGCCAAGTACACATTGAAGCTGCTTCGGTTGGTTTCAGTCCCAAACCACAACTTGCGACTGCACCTGCCCCCGCGCCCGCCCTTGCGCCTGCAGCTCCCCTTAACTACGACTATCCCCGACTCGTCGCCCACGAAGACAGACGAAATTTCCGTACACGAAGAGTTCTCTCGCAGGATCTGAGCGAGGACTTTCTTCTAGAAGAATCCTCGGACGAAGCCCCGTCTTTCCGAGACCGATCATCCTCATCTCCCAATAAACGACGCGAGTCTCACCGACCTCATCGCGTCTCCAGAAACACCCGCAGCGCCATCCTCTTTGCCCTCGAGGAAGCGCTCCGACAGCCCCACCCGTTCACGCCCGACGAGATCGAGGAAAGCGCATCCATGGCTGACCTTATCGGAGGCGGCGCCGCCGCTTCCAATGGCAATGCGTCCACTCCTTCTCGCCGCCCAACTGGCGCACCCAACCCGACCAGCTCGCCTTCCGGAATCCGTGGTCCTAGAATGATCATGCAGGAGCGAGCTGCCAGAGAGGCCGCCCGACAGAAAGCCGAGCAGGAGCAGATGCAATTGGAGAGACAGCGAGCTGAGCAGGAAGCCCGTTTATTGGAGGAGACTCAGAGACGGAATGCGGAGCGCCGCGCTGCCGCCGCCGCCGCTACTGGCGCTGCCGGAGGAGGATCTGGTGGCGCTGCCAGCGTGCCCCAGCCAGACCCCACCTCCCAACGGCGACCCGTAGCCACCGATACCCCACAGTCCCGGCCTGTTGCGGGAGGAACCTCCCGCCAACCGGCGACAACACAGCCTCAAACCCGGCATACCCGCACAACATCAGGCTCTCACGTCGGCCAGCAACCGTACAGCACCAACCCTCAGGCCGGTACCACGCAGCAGCCTGCAACTGCCACTCAGGGAGGCCAGGAGACGACCGTCGCAGGATCCAGACCCAGAAACTCCTTCCCCCATGCTTTCGAGCGCTGGGAGACCTTGTCTGCCCACTGGGAGGGTCTGACTAGCTTCTGGATCAGGCGTTTGGAGCAAAACAACCAGGATATTGACCGCGACCCCGTCAACCAGGCCCTTTCTCGTCAGGTTACCGACCTTACCGCTGCAGGTGCAAACTTGTTCCATGCTGTCGTCGAGTTGCAGCGTCTCCGTGCCAGTTCCGAACGCAAGTTCCAGCGCTGGTTCTTCGAGACCAGAGCAGAGCTGGAGCGAAGCCAAGAAGTCAATGCCATGCTGGAGCGAGCCCTTGAAGATGAACGACGTGCTAGAGAAAACGCCGTTCAGGCCGCCATCCAGAAGGAGAGAGTCACCTCGGCTAACGATGAACGCGTCAAAGAGATGAAGAAGGAGCTTCAGATCTCCAAGGAGGAGGCCCGTCGCGCTTGGGAAGAGCTTGGACGCCGTGAGCACGAGGAGAGAGAAAGAACGCAGTCTCTGCAGAGCGGCCAGCCCACTATTGTGGGCGGTGTTCAAGTTGTCCCCATGACCCAAGGTGTACCCAGTCGCCACGGCAGCTCTCGTGAGCAGCGCGGGTATCAGACCGACTACAGCAGCCAGCAGAGCGGCTACACGGGCGAGTACTCACAAAGCCCGGCCAACCCGCCTGTCACCTCGAGCCCTGGCGGCAATTTCTATCCATCTGGCGACGCAGGCCAGGAAGGCGTGAGCTACACCGGTGCTGGCTCCGAAGGCGGTTACAGTGAAGGTGAGTACACGATTGATGCACAGGGCCAGTTTGTTCGCGATTCGCAGGGAAACAAAGTTCCTTTCATTGCTCCGCCTTCCCCAGTTTCTGACGAGGGACCAGAAGAGTACGAGACTCCTGCGACCAACCCTCCTAGCGCCGGCTATTCACAGACTCCGACGACCACAGCCGGCGGTCAGCAACAGGGCACTCAAGACTACTCCGGCTCAGGCTACGCGGCCCCGGGCTGGGAGACCGTTCCCAGACATCATCACCCGACGCGCCTGAGCGATGTTATGGAAGAAGAGGATGAGCGAAGCCGTGCCAGCAATAGCCAGGTCGGACGTCACTAGTAATTGGCTGTTGACCTTGTTTGAACAACCAATGCTTGCTGCGTCTCCGATTGGATGCTGTTCCTACACATCGTCGATTCATCCAAGGATACACAGCACTTGACAACGTTGCTTTCTTCCTCAACCGAAGTCTGCATTTTCATTTATAGCCTTGCGATTCGACACTTTCGAAGCTGTGTGGCACGAACAAAGCAGGCAGCTACAGAAACACATGAATCGACAGCTCAGACGCTTGTCTCCGAGGTATAGCCACTCCTTCACGAATGTACGGAAATTTGCGGATACCCTTGAGCCTCGGAGCCGTGCTCTACAGCATGAGCAACAAGAGATGTTGCAGCTACAATTTGTGCAGTCTGCACCATTCCGGAGTTTTGACGCGATGGAGGTTAGACTGCCTACGGGCACACTTTGGGCTGCCCTCGCTCTAGACATTGTTGGACTGTCTCAAGCGCGACTTGACGACTAATTTTTTACTGCTTGGCATTTGGCGAGTTTTGCGACAAAAAGAAACGGTTCCGAGATGGTTGATGGACACGGCGTGGCGGTTGGGCGTGGCATGAATGGTCAGCATCGCATGGCATACTCTTGTTTCTTTTGGCGGCATTTCGTTTTGCTTTTTCGCGACTTTTCAACTTCGCTACTCGGGTTTTCGGAGCGACGCCTCATGTCCTGGTCCTTGTAGGACATTGGCGGAAGTTCTTCAGCCTGAGAGAGTATTCGTACCCAGCTGGACTCCTGATGGCAGATTCTGCACGGCTTCTGAAGGAAACATATGGAGAGTGAACAGTTTGGGGAGAAAGATGTTGAGCTTCGGCAATGGAGACCTCGAGCTCTCAGCTGGGGGACGGAGCCTTGTATTTGTAGAAAAAGACTCTGCCAAGTGTAGGAGATAATTCATTGCTGAGTGCGTTTTTCTGGTGCCATCGTATGGAATGTGCTGGCTGGGCAATCGGGCTGGGATTGCCCGGGTGCGTGTGGGTGCTTGCGGAGGGGAATCAGCTTGCCTTGATTGCGGACTTCACGCATTCCTGGCGTCTGGCTAGACATTGGTGCTGATCTGCAGGTGAGACTGCGTCCACTTGCATTCATCCCTTGCTGGCGAGCATCCGCCAAGGCTTACTTAACGGCCGGTGTGCCGTCACTGGCCGGAGTACGCAAGCTCTCATCAGACTTGGCATTCGTGATGTACGTTCGGGCGAGTTTTTGTCTGACGGCTGTCCGTCATATATCAGGACCTATAAGCCACCATCAACTTTGAGAATATCGATACCACCAATCTTTCCTGTGCTTGAGGTTAAATAGTCTATTGGAGTAGGGACAGTGAAGATAATGCGAAGGATGACAGCAGAAACGATAATAGGAGGGACGACGATAGCAATAGTAGAGACAAGGACGACGACAGTTGTAGAGACGACGACGACGACGACGACGCCGCCGCCGCCGAGAGATATAGAGGACCACAAAGGAAATTTAGTCACCGAAACCTGGCGTCGAATGGATTCATGTGTGTTATCGTGAGGCGCCTGGCAGACTGTGTTCTGGTCACTGCTATTGGATACACCCAGTCTACGTGCAGGTGTGATCGGAAGCTCCCACCAGTCGGAAAGCGAGGGCTTGAGATGTACGAAGAACGACAATTACGGGATTGCGCGTTTCTCACAATATAAAAAGCCCGTTGTGTAACCGTTACAGGCGATCTTGTGTTCCCATCCTTTTCGCAACTCAGCCAACCTCCAACCAACAGAATACCATCCTTTCTGTTGGGAGTACTCTCTGTACCACGCACAATGCGCCGTGATTTGTTGGAAATGTTCCTCGACGACGCAGGTGGCTTTGAGAAGTGCCTGGGGCTGCAGTACGCGAGCCACGACGCCGGAATCGATGACAGTATAAGGAACCCTGACCCCTTGCTCGACCGCACGGGACCTATTACGGATAGGCTCTTTGGCTTGAGTCTTGCTGATGATTACGACTATGGAGGTAAACTCGGAGCTAGGATCAAAACGGGCGGGTTTGCTGGCGAGGCGATGCCTCATCCCCAGATCAGCCTCCAGGAGAGCGTCTTTGGATTTTCTTGCCGTGGAGATGGGGTCCTACAGAGATGTAATGGCTATGACCCTGTTGCATCTGAGGAAAGACGGTCGAAGGTCAAGACCCAAAGCACGACGATATACGACGGTATGGGCCCTCGTTACCTGTAATACTCGTGACGGTCATCGAGGACTGACGGCGATAGCATCTTCTCACATCGAGCTGAAACTTCAGCTTCCTCGTAGACCAGCGACCAACCAGCAGCATCAAAGTTCCATCATCAAGCCGGGGGTTGGTTTACTAGATGAAGAGAGCCCGCGTGCGCGTCAGGTGGCAGGCCCGATCTCCGAGACGACAGCGGAGGCTGTTCCAAGCCATGATACCACCAAACAAGACAGCCCAGGGGAGTCAAAAGAACCCGCGGGGCTTCCGAAGCCTTCTGTGTCTCTGCCGGCGAATGATACACGAGGTACTCGTACTGGAGGGACTAGTCTTCCCGAACAGGAGTTTGCTTGTCCATACCTTAAAAAGAACCCAGCAATTTGGGGCCAGCGTCCAAGTTGCCGAGGGCCTTCATTCGATAGTATACACAGATTGAAGTAAGTACCCATCAAGCCGCCCTATGTGTTTCTAGGAACAGACATCTGATACAACGCCTATCTTCAGAGAGCACCTCTATCGAGTCCATCAGCAGAAACCTAATTGTCCACGTTGCCGAAGCATCCTTCCCACCCAGGACGACGTCAATATCCACCTCAAGTCAAAGACCCCCTGCGACGTCTTGCAAGACATCGTGGTCGAGGGTTTCGACGTTGCGCAAAGGGAGAAGCTGCGATGCAAAAAGCGAAGCTGGGGAAAATCGGGGCAGCAGAAATGGGAAGACATCTTCCGGATTCTCTTCCCGGACTGCAATGAGATACCAGATCCATGTAGGATGCCGTTACCATAATATGTGAGCATTGCAGCTGACTTGAGACGACAGACTACAACCACAACTTCGACGGCGTGGCTCCAGATCCAGTCACAGCAGGCAAGAAACGCCCGCTTGACGTTGGGAGCGCGTTCACAGACAGGCTTCCGCAAGAGCTGGAGGAAGATGTATGTAAACAGCTTGAAGGGGTGATAGGATCGCAACTGGACAGACAGAAACGGAAAAAGGTGATGCAAGTGGTCGAAACTTTGGTCATCAAGGTACTCCAACAGCCTCTGGTTGCGAAAGATACGAAATCCGGGGAGGCATTGGTCAAAACGCCCGAGGATGAGCGAAGCTGCAACGAGCAGCAGACTACCGGATCGAACGCGAGGTCGATTTCAAGAGATTCTTTGTCGCCGACTCAAGCATTGCGTCCGGCGGCTACTCTTCAGGTAGAGTTCGATTCTCAAGACCACAGATCACAAAGTATCTCGGACGGGGCGCTCATCGACATCCCTGAAGATGAGGGCAACGCCTGGCTTCCCACAGAGTTCTACGACGTCGATTTTGGCGATGAGTCGAATTTGCAAACATGGCCTGGTTGGAACAGTGCTTTTGTTGAGGGGAATGGTTACGAGTGGGCTGCTGTTGGTGCCACTGCGTTTCGGGTGCCATGTTGGAACCAGACTTTGGACTACACACCGGCTCAGGGAGATGGAAACTTGTCATAGAGTGACCTTGACTCCAAGACCTTTTCTATCGGGTTGTCACCGGAGAAGTGTGCAGCTGGGTGCGCGCACCTGACTGTCTACACCACTCCGAGTAGAAAATAAACTCTCAAGGTTCACGATCCCAAATACATCTCCGAAAGAGCAGCACGGAATCGTTTAAGTCTGGCAGCGAGACGTAGTTGAGATTCGCAACTTGCTGTTTCCCTCATTTCTCAGCCATTCGCTTTCCCGCCCTGACTTATGACAAAGTCATCACCATGGACAAAAATTCCAGTTTGTCCCAAAGCCTCCATAAGTGGCCTGTCCATCCACCCAAGTGGCCTCTCCAATCACCCCTTTCTCAATCTTTCAAGCGGTTCCTTCAACTTCCACCAGAGATTCAGCAAATGATATGGACAGAATTTTATCGCATCCCTCGATACTTCACTGTAGAATGGGATTCCTATTGCAGAGATGAGGATAATGACGATGGCGGTAAGAAAGACGACGACGACAAGGACGACGACAAGGTGAGAGATAGGGTAGGATTCGACGGCGAGGAAAACTACGACAATGAAGATGATTCAGTAGCTGATGATAACTCTATGATCTTCGAATCTAGGAACTACGTCCGGTTCAGCGGCTCGATAGTTGAGCCCATCGGCAAGTCTAAAGCGATTTACTACCACGAGATCGACAACACCATCAATCAGATGTCAATATCCATCGCTCAAGGCGCTCGCTCACGGCTTCAGCTCCGGTTATGGTGTAAGCCTTCAGGAGATCAAGATGGTTACTGGACAAATATGTCATCTCACTGGAAAAATCCAGAGGACCCCTTTGTGAACTTCGAGTTGGAATTTCTCTACTTTCATAAAATCTGGGCCTGGCCTCCGTGGTATAGCAGAGAGGAGAAGCAATGTCTCGAATGGATGGGCAACATCCAAAATATCATCATCAATACCGAGATTAACCGTAAAGCAAGATCCGAGGATGAAGTAAGATGCACCATTGCAAAGGGCTTCACCAAAGAGAACTTGTGGCTGTGGAAGATGAGGCGCTGTCTGCCAAATCCCAAGGTCATCAGGCGCGTGCTCGCAGACGGGATACTGCAGGTCCTGAACGAGCGGGCGTACTTCCAAACGAGATATCTGCTTCGCGAGGCACACAACGAGCAATGGCGGAACACACGACAAGAGATTGCCACAGAACCCCACTGGCTGCCGGCGATGTGTTCGCCAAAGGAACCTCAATGGGGACCATTTCTCGACATGTTGCTCTGTTGTGATATCACAATGATAGGTGCTGTTCCGCAGGATCTTACACTAGAAGACGACGAGATTTTGGGAAGCAGGAAGCTTTTTGGGGGGTTTCTTCAAGCCTTGGTCGATGCAGACGCCGAAGAGCGGTAGGTAAGGAGGCAAGTATTTGTGTGCACAGGGGAGAGAGATAATTTTACTCGGAAATCATGTCAATTGATTGACGATCTCCCTTGCTAGAAACGACGATAGTGAGATTAAATTTACCGGTTCGCCCACCCTCAAACAGGCTCCCCTCTCAGTCGCTACCACCCGCTTATCAGCAAGGGACTACCCCCAAGGCCCCAAAGGGGGCGGCCTCTGGCTGCTGGTTGCGGTTTGGATACCACCTACGTCAGCTGAACCAGCAAACGGCCTTTTCCACATGCAGACAAATCCTGAAGACGGTGAGGGCGGCAGACCGCAGACCACAGAGGGGGGGGGCCCCATTTGCCTAAGGCGGCGGGGCTCGCCAGCTCACTGCTGGCACGCCCTGCGTTGCCAATCAGCCAACCACGAGCCGGCGGGTGGCAGGGGTGTGATGCGCGAAGAGTGACAAATGCGAAGTTGCGATATTCTTTTGATTTTTCATAAAAACATGAGTTGTGTTTGACCGCTTCCCTGTTGCAATGCGCTAGCTTTCTCTTTCAATTGCGACTCATGAACTTCTTGTGAGAGAGAGCGTCGCGACCGAAGACACACACGATGAGAATGCCACCTACCATCAAGACCGAGGCCGTCACACCGCCGATGGCCGGCCGGGACGAGACTGATGGATTGACGAGCCGAATGTCGGGGCTGGATCTCGACGCCTTCCCCACGCCGCCGACGATTGGCAAACGGCAGTCGATGGGATCGCCAACGAAGGTCAAGTTTGAGAAGAGTTTTGACTGGAAGAGTGTGTTCAACGGCAAGAAGGAGGTGAAGCATGAGATCGACGAGCCCCAGTCTCATGCTTCTTGGCCTGCGCCAGTGCAGTATCCCCAACAGACAGCGCCATTCCCGGCACCGGTGGCGAAGAGCTTTGATTTTTCAAATTTTGGAAGAGACCAGAGCCCTCAATTTGAAGTATGTTCAAACATGTAACATTTGAGGCTCGAAATTAACCGTTTGCCAGCTTCCTGCCCGTAGTCCTGACCAGCCTCCGTTCCCCATCCCGCAGCGTTCAACCTCCAAGCACAATCGCGTCAAGTCTTACTCCGGGGGAACGTTCCATTTCGAAGAATGCGGCGAACAGGACATCACTCCACCTACTGCCGAGCTTGAAGGGCCGGCACTGGCGCCCCCATTGGCCTGCCCTTATCTCAAGCACGATCCCAAGACGTATGGTCAGAGAAGAGGTTGTAGAGGGGCCTCCTTCACCTCTACACACAGGTTGAAGTGAGTTGTGCCCCAAAAGACAACTCACCTGATGGATCGCTGAGGCTGACTTGATTTCAGAGAACACTTGCACAGGACGCATAGGCAAAAGCCGAACTGCCCGCGTTGTCGCATGACGTTTTCCGCAGAGGCCGACGTGCGTGAGCATCTCAAGTCGCAATCCCTTTGTGAGGTTCTTGAAGGGGTGTCTGTTGAGGGCTTCGATGAGGTTCAAGAGAAGCAGCTGAAAAGCAAGAAGCGCGGAAGGGTTGTCAAGTCCGAGCAGGACAAGTGGAGAGAGATCTACCGGATACTCTTCCCAGACAGCACCGAGATTCCCGATCCTTGTAAGCTTTCCGCGCAACTGTAGAAAATTCTTGGTTCACTAACAAGCTGCGGTAGTATACAATCTCGCTTTTGACGACACAACCCCGACTGGCCCTGCTCAGGCAGACCACCAAGATGCCGAGGCCATCTTCAAGCAACCGGTTCCTCGCAAACTCGAGGAAGAAACTTTATCATTAATGGAGGACGCTGTAGGTGGTCAGTTGAACACGAAAAAGAGGAGGAAAATCATGGACGTCTGCAAGGATTTCGCGATCAAGATGCTTCGATCGCCGAGGAAAGGCAAGAGTTCCGCGGCAAGAAGCAAAGATCTTGCCAGAAAAGCGGCAATCACACAAAGCCCCGAAACTCCAGGAAGCTTAGATCGGACACGAGGCTCGCCGGAGTCGAGCCACAGACCACGGACATCAGACGCCCCTGGACCTATGATGATGCTGTCCTTGGACGGCACAATGAAGACGGGGTCTAAGGCAGCGCCAGAGACCGGACTCTCGACAATGGATACTCATTGGACTCTTCCGGAACAGGGTGGGTTCGACATGGGCCAGGAATTTGATTTCAGTGACTGGCCTCTGTGGAATCAAGCGCTTGCGGAGGGATCAAGCTATGGCTGGTCCAATAGTGGCATGGGATCTCCGTACAAGATGACTTTCGAGGAGGCGCAAGTGCATTCGGATAACCAAGGATATGAGGGTGTGCCCTTGATGAGTCACGACACAAATACCCAGGGTTCAAGTGGAGTTGTTGGAGTGAACAGTTACTGAGTAGCGGATACTACAAAGTCGTAGCACTAAGCTCAGGAATGTAATACAGACATGGAGCTTTATGCTCGAGAACTCTCGAAAGATACCATCATGACTACAGCTTATATTACTGCTCCAATCTCTGTTCTCGTATCTACTTCTATCTCTATTGTCGTCTCTTTCGTCGTTTCTATCGTCGTCTCTATCGTCGTCTCTATCGTCGTCTCTGGCTCTCTGAGTTCCCTCTCTCTAAATTTATTCGAAAGGCACAACTGATGGTGCTGGAGTATGCCATACTATGACTTTTGGGCAAAGGAACATGGTGCAGTGTAACAGTACAAGCGATGCGAACTATGCTGCATCTGAAAGGTTACAGAAACCAAGAAGACGTTGAATCATGGACCGCCACCTGTTCATTGTAGGCTGGTGGCTTAGACCTTATTGCCAGTAGAATTTCTTGTGAGGTGCTTCTGGACGGGGATTCATAGAAGTAGGAAACTTCCACGCCACTGCCACATAGATGTAGAAGATCACTGCCACATAGATGTAGAAGATCACTGCCACATAGATGTAGAAGATAGTAGAGGTCCCTATAGGAGGAACACCGCGGGTCATCATAAGAAGAGAACACACAGGCCAAATAGGATATTAAGATGACTCAATGTTGTCTTAGGTGGTAATTAACACCACATTTTAAGCCGCTTCCTGAGACGATCTTCTTGTGCGTTGCTGGGAGTCCTCTGATTCCCTCTTCGTCGCCCTCCACAGCCACCGAAGCGCGACGGAGGTTTTTACACATTTGAAACTGAAATTTATGATGAAGAAAGCGATGATTGTCCAACGAAACTCGTGTAACAGACAACCGATGAACGCAATCTGCCCAGCCACCGCAATAAGAATTAACATTCGGGGAAAGAGAGGGACTTGCTTGTATGCAGTATCTGCTAGCTGTAACCTAGGTTCCCACTTCTTGTCTCGCGTAGAATCTCCATGTCTCTGTTCAACTGAACGAGCTGCGTCGTCGTTTTGTTGGGAAGCGACAGAGTCGGGTTCAGTTGTGGCACTATCTCCCTGTGAAACGTGCGGGCTCCCCAGTTGCGAACTTTGGCCATTCTCATGGGTCTTCTTCTCGCTATCTTCATTCTTATCTTTTCAAGTGATTAGTGGCCATCCTCAACGTAGGAAACTCCTTCCAGGGGGTTTGTTCACATACCACTACTGGCCTCGAACACCCCTAGGACGATGATCAAAGGCATGATTAGGGGCACGATCTGACCGAACTTTGGTTTCTTGAGCGGCGAGGCATCAACTCCGTCGACTTTGAGATCCCGGATCAAGTTGATCATGTTGTATACGGTGAAACTGACGTTGGTGAAAATAGCCCAGCATACAGACTGCGACAGATCATCAAGCAGCACTGGGAAGGCAAGCCACCACTTCTCCCCCCACGGGCATTGGCTTTCTTCGAGATTTTGGCGCAGTTTTTGATACTTGACACACACTTCCTTTCTTTCTTGATCTTCCAGCTTCCTAAATTTCTCTCTCTTTTCAGGACTTCGGCAAAACAGTCTTGCAAGGTGTATGACAGCGGTATAAGCCGGCGTAAACACCTCGGTGGCATTGCGCAGCTGTACTATCGAGTCGTAGTAGCCGCCGCCAACCCAATAGCAGAGGGCCAGCCAAGCAGCCCTATTCACTGTCGTGTCGGTCGGCGCAGGGTAGTGCAATGCGCACGAGGCAACCTCATCCCAATAATTATCCCACATGATGAAGGTACACAGCTCTGTGACGAGAAGAAAGACAAGCAGAAGAAGCATGGAAAATGTTCGAATGTTGGCTTGTGTTTTGTGTTGGTGAAAGTACTTTGCGAGCGCCACGAGGCAGTCCATATGAACTCCTGCTGATACCCATGCAAGATTCTGACCCCCCTGAAAGGTGAAATGTGACATGGTGCATATTTGGCTGTATAGGGCAATCATGAGCCCCAGTGTGGTGATGAGTAGCTGGTCACTGAGAGGTAGAATGATCTGTTGGTACTGGAGCTTTTGAAGAATTTTATATCTTGACACGCGCGGTTTTATCCAGTTGAGGACATTTTTGTCCAGTTGGCTGTGTTGATCTGGATGAATACCGCGCTCCGGTCCAACATGTCCGCCGGTTTCAGGATCGCTATTGATGTATGATAGCAAGACGAAGAAGTGTGATGCGACAACTGGGAAAATGAACGCAGCTAGGACCTTGTGGAACGTCAGCCAGGCTCTGAGGAACTATGGCGGATATCTTACCCCGAATCCCACCATGTCAGCATCCGTTGGGTCGTCCAACATTGCCGAGCAATCGCCGCCGCAGGTGAGGTTCATCTTGTCAAAAGTTGAGGGAGGAAGGATTTGTCGAGAAAATCACCGCTTCAATTCTGGAGGTGAGAACGGGATTATATGCGTTGGCCCCAAGGAGATGTTTCCTCTCTACGTACATGACCAAGGGAGTCCACATGCAGCATCATGCACAGCAACATGCAAGATGACGACCAGAGCAGCACAAGATAAGTATAGCCTACCTACTCAAGCATGCTCCTTCTCGGTATTTGGAGCAGGCTGCCAGTGCGAAGTGGGAGGATCCCGCCCCTCAACACCAGGCTGTGATTCAATAATATTGCTCTTGCAGGGCCAGCTAGCTGACCAGGGATTGATTTGCGTAGATGCACTTCAACCCAAACATTGATATATCCATTCTGAGAATCGGCAATAGTTGGAAGCATATTTCTGGCGTCGGCACGACAGCCTCGCCAGTATTTGTGCGATATTGCAAGAGCCCATCTCATTTAAGCCGGATTTGCGACCTCGGGACCTTATTATTCATACCGTCATTCGGATCGGTATTGGAGATGAGCAGTAGAGAAGCACAGAACTTTACCTTCAATGCAGTCTGAGATTATTGGAAAATCTCCCGAGGGAGACGTTGACTACCAATGTGACTTATGCGAGACGGACTGTTGGACGGGAAGTATACCTCGATGTAATGGATGATGAATTAGCAAGCTTGGTATATAGGCTACATGACAACTCTCTTCAGTTCCTCCCTTAGCACTCCCAACCCCATGATTTCACTCATGCAACCATAATATGCACCATGACGACCTGACGACTGTCAATCTGATAACCTCCGAGTCCAAATCTCAATCCGTTTTGGTCTTATTCTCTCTCTCCAGTCTCTTCTCGCCGCTCATCTTCTCGATGTTGAGCAGCTTCTCTGTTCTTCCGCTCCTTTCTCACCTCCCTGAAGCGCGCAAACCCTGCTACTATTCGCGTGTAGACAAAGAGTGTTTTCAACGCAAAAAGAGCCGTAACAGTCTCGTCAAAGTAAAGCATCAAAGAAACAAAAAAGCATAGTTGGGCCGCTAATGTTGCGCAGACAGCAACTCTACTACACTTTGGGGCCTTCGTGTAAACGGCCTCCATAAGCTCTTCGAACGAAGCCAGCTCATTACCTCCCGCCTCCTGCCGCAGAGTGTTGGTCCGTCCAAGTAGCTCCATCTCACGAGTCAAATCAGTTGGACAAATGGCTGGACTATGATTAACTTGCGTGTCTGTCCCTTCGGGACGGACATGTATGGTGCCCGGCTCCCCAATGCTTGATGCTTCCACAGCGACAGGCTGCTGTTGGCTCAGTATACACACCTTGCTCGGGGAGTTGTAAGGAGTCCTCGGCTCTGGAGAGTCTGAAACGAGACCACCGGAAATTGAACTTGAGTCGGATGGTTGTGACTTGTATTAGAGTGGTCCGTCCGTTGGTAGATTAGGAGTCCCTGTGAATCTCGAGTTAGTCATCAGGTTTTTTCAACCCGACGTGTGGTCGAGCTACTTACCGCTGGCTTCTATGAAGCTGAACACGAAGACCAGAAGTAGCAGTATTGGCACGATCTGGCCGAACTTGGGCTCGAGGAGGGGTGCAACCGAGACTTTGTTGCTGCTTCCAAAAGCTAAGATCTGTCCCAACATGGTTGCAGCCCAGACCGTGAACAGCACGGAGCTCGATATTGTCCAGAACGTTGATGTTGTAAAGTCTATCGCAATGGCCGGGATGATGACGCGCGTGATCGTTGAAAGTTTGCGAGGATGCTGTTGAAGCGTGCGGATTTGGTGGGCATTAGACTGGCCCAGCTCTTCTTCTGTTCGGTCCAGCAGCTCCTTTCTGTCCTCTTCAAACCTGCTATCTCGGTACACGAGGCGTAACAAACCCAGAACCCAGGTGTGAACAATGTAATACTGTGCGTAAGGTTCGTAAACATTGAACATAGCGCTATAGAGGCCGTAGCTAATGAACCAACTTTCGGCGAGTGAGCCCCAGATGGTGTAGCTCCAAGGCGCATCAGGATTTGTGATGTCGCAAACTGCATGGTTGTTGAGGTGGCCTTCTTCGACAATCCTGTAGAGAAAGACGCTCGCTATTTGGAACGTGGCAGTGAAAAACATTGAGCCCAAGCGGATTTTGGCTTGTATCTGGTGCCCAGCGAAGTAATCCTTCAAGACGGTAAGAGTCAATGCGTGAATGCTAGCAGCAAAGTACGACAGGCTGATGCCTATACGAAAAGTGAAATTTGAGACGCTGCAAATCTGCGAGTACATCGCTATAAGCATCACAATGCTTGACACGAGTGCTTGGTCGCTGATTGTAAGAAGTAGCGCCTCATATCTGACCATTCTCAGCCAGGTCCATGTCTCGGGATGCCTTTCAAGCAAATTCCAAAGCCGTCTCCATTGCTTTAAAATCGCGCCGAGCCTTGAGACGAGCCTCTTGTCGAAACACCCGTACTGGTCATCCGGCATTGTACGAGACAGGTACGCCACGCCTAGTATGGCATGGGATAAGAAAGCCGGTATGAAAAATGCCACAAGGACCTGCCTCAACTGCCAGCGGAGGGCTTTGGATCGTCTTCTGAAGAGATTCAATACTCCAAACCCCATCATGTCAGGGTCCGCAACATCCTCCAGGCCTATAAACGCCGGGCAATTGACGTTTGG